CATGGCATGTATGTATAAGTATCTCTAGTGATTTTAGATGATTATTATACAGAGAAGAAATATCTAACTTTCATACAAAAATCTTAACGTTTAATTAAGCGATTTTGGCCGAGTTCAACATAGCACCCCAGTCGTTTCTCTTCTGTGTAAACTGAAGCTTACTAGAAATTTCTAAGAAGGCCACGTCCATCTCCACATGATTTTTCCAACGTAGAGGAGGCCGTTATCTTCCTTACCTTTCACCAGTGGGTGCCGTACTTTAAGGTCTGGAACATTTGCATCCATGGCTGAGACAGCGGAGCTGCTGGATTTGATTCGCTGAACTATGCCAATGTCGTTGTACAGCTGATCATATCGCCTCATCAGATAATGCCATCGTCTACGCCTCCTACAGCATACATCAGGAGATACGTGATAAGGGGTCTACAAAATGTGATTTTCGTACTCAGTCCAAATCAGAACTTGTTGGAAAGAGCGAATCTTTTTAGTATTTCGAGGCAGACATTGGGTGAATGATGGAAGTATACAAAATCCTCAGAAACTTTAAAATTATGACGCTAACAGTGTAGTGAGAGCCTAGATGCCTTTAATAAAGGAGATACATACATACTTCGTTTTGTCCTCGTTCACCACCACACCCTTTGCCTCTGTATCTAATTCCGAGAAGGCAGAACAGACGCAACTGCCTGTAACTGGGTAACCAGAAGAACGATCATACCCATTTGCACTCCATTGGTACGCTAATTTGTTGTTTAAATATTGAATAGGATTTAGAAATTTAAAGGGAAAATTAACGAATCAATCAAAGTCCACGATTTTTTTTTTAATTTCCACGGATATCTGTGTATATATTTATGTACATTAGGGCGGTTCGGTAAACAAAAAAAGCAAACTTTTTCAAAAAGAATTAAAAAACTGATTTTCTTAAATATTTTAAAGTAGTTTTACGTTCGTACTGACCACGTAGACTTCTGGTATTATAATTTGCTTTAAATTTTATAGATTAGGCTGCCATAGGTACAAAAGAATTGGCGTACGTGAAAACTGACGATAAGTAGTGGCTCAATTTCAGAGTGATAGTGTTTGCCACTCATGTTTATTTCTTTATTTTTAAGAATTTTCGATTAAAATACAGTTCATTTTCTAACCAAATGCACGTTCTATTAATCCAAGTTCAAAACATTGTAGCAAATTGAAAAAATTAAAAAAAATATTCATCCAAATTACAAAATTTTTCTCAGATGTGAGTATATGTACAGTTTTAAAGCTCATTCATTTTTCGTATAATAATTTCTAAGTTTCAAGTCGCTAAAAATTAGCGTTGATTTTTTAAATTTATTAAATATGGCAGAAAACCGCTTGTTATTGCGGGTAGGTAGCAAAATTCTACTCGGTTTATTCTTATCGAGCATGAGAACAAAATACGTTCCATTTTTTCGGACTTCATTTTGATCTGAAACCGATAAGATAGGAAATAAAATTTTAATTACTATATTTGCACATACACATATATCTATGTACATATGCGCATTAGGGTGGTCCAAAAATGCATGTGGAAAAGTCTGAATTTTATTGCTCTCACACCCTATGATTGTTTTATATCGAAAGAAATGTTGCCCCTGTGTGTTTATTTTGAAGCAAAAAAATATTTAGAGGTCGCTCAAAGTTTTCCGTGTATTTTATATGGGGAAAAGCAAGTTTTGGTAAAAATGGTATGGAATTCTTAAATCTCAATATTTTTCGATGGGAAAATTTTGTTTCTTTTCAAAAGAAGGCCAATAATAATACCCAACTGTTTATTATACCGATTTGTTATGGGTCCCCAATTGCGTTTTTGAAGTTTTTAGGGGTCCTACAAATCATAGTTAATAATAGAAAATGGGTATTGTTATTGGAAGTCTCCTGAAAAAAAACAACGGCTTCCAATTGAAAATTACTGATTTTCCAGAATTCTACATCATTTCTACGAAAACTTGATTTTTCCTATATAAAATACATGGTAAACTTTGAGCGACCTCTAAATATTTTTTTATTTCAAAATAAAAAAACAGCGATTTAAATTTTTCTCGGTATGGAACTATCCTAGGGTTGAGAGCACTAAAATTCTGACTTTACTGTAAATACATACTTGTTTTTGGTATATAGAGTTTTGAAGGTATAGAACATACAGAGCCTACCGAGATGGTCTCTCCGAGGTTGCTTTAAAAAAAAAAATAATTGATTTAGTTAACAGGTATGACATTGTTTGAAGCAACTACAGCGACTCCAACAAGTGTTCACATGTTGATTTTTTTTTTAAATATTCAAAACTTTTTTTTTTTAAATTTAGTTCATTATTTAATTTAAACCATATGCTATGCACATAAATCAAAGTTCTAAACTTTTCACAGAATTTTGAAAAATTCTCATTAAAATTTTGAAATTTTGAATTGGAATTTCTGGAAAATTTTTGCGTAAGCGGTTTTATAGCCCTTAAAATTTAATAATGCAAGTTTAAACAGGCTAGAACTTGGCGTTGATTTTCAATAATTTTTATTTTTGCTGACTGGATTTTGGCACTGTCTTTTCATATAAACATGAAGATCGTATAGAATACAATGCGTAAATCCGTTCACAGAAACATTTCAGAAAATCAACATCAGGTTATATAAATTGCCGGAGGAAAAAAAATATTAAAAATCCACGCGAATTTTTAGCTGTTTCTAACATGCACTTTTTTATTATAAAATTTTAAGGGATTTAAATCTGCATGCCCAAATGCTAAAAAGTTCGCAAATAAATAACAAAAAAAAATTACACGGTCAATAATTTGGGTTTAATTTTTAAACCGTGCTGGGACTACTACCTTTTTTAAACTTTTATAGTCTACTTTTTAAACCAGTCAATAGTTTTCAGCAATTTTTAATATATTGTGGTTTAAATTTTAGTCCAAAAAGTTCGTGGTTTAAAAATCAAACCAAAATGTTTTAATTCTAGTTTCTAAGTTTCATATATAGAAAATTTGGTTTAAAATCTAAAATCTGGTGTTGATTCAAATTCTACATATGAAAGCACATTTACATGCGTGGCTGTAGCTGAGAGTGCAAATATGCTTGATACAATTGGTTGCTACTAAGGCTATCCGGGTTCAATCCCCATCAGACGGAGCATGAAATTTAATATTAATTTTATATTCTTAATTATGAAAATGTTTGTGCCCTCTTTTTTTTAAATTTAGAACGTTTGTATTTGAAACTGAATTTAGTTTGGTCATATATGTAGTCCAAAAAGTTTAAAATTAAAACCGAAATTTATAACCGTGTAGATGTGAACACTTGTTTGAGTTTCTGTAAATATATAACACACATCTGTATGTATGTACTAGAGGTTTACACCGCCGAGCGACGCCGTTATTTGTCATTCCTCACGCGCCGCCGCCGTCGTTCGGCGCCTAAGGAACTTTGTGCAAAAGGAAAGTATAAATAACATTTTTTTTTTTAATAAAATTAAATTTTCAATAATTTTATTGAGCTCCAGGCCGTTTTTGATTGTGTTGGCTTAACAAAATGAAAAAGTGGAAAAAGAGCAACAATAATTTACAAGGCGAACTTAGCACAGTGCGTGGGCAACTGGCTGATTCAGTGGGATCGTCGGTTCGAATCCTACTGAAAGAAGCCTGATGAGGAAATGTGGTGATTTCCGAAATAGCTATCACTTCTACCATTTTTTAAGAAAAATATAAATTATTGTTGCTTGTCCACAATAGTTTTTCATTCAAAAACGGCCTGGAGCTCAATAAAATTGTTGAATATAATTGTTATAAGGCCATAAAATAACAAAAAAAAAATACATTTTGTAAACAGTTTTTTTCACCTAATTTGGGCCACGAAACAGGGATATGAACTTCATTATGTCAACAAAAAAACTAACTCAGGCAAAATAGGAAACATGTTTTATGGTCGAAAGCCTTTATTACAGTTAATGTAGTAATCGGCGATTTTTTGCGTAGTGGTTTATTTTTTTCAATACCATAATAACCAAAAATAAAATTTTAACACATCAAAAACTTTAAACGCTAATATCTTAGAAAGCAGTTTTAACAGAAGGGCCCTTATTGGATTGGCGATTATTGGAGATAAAACAAACACAAGCTAATTTTCTTGTGTTTTTCTTTATTTAATAAATATTTTAATATTTTTCAAACAGACTTTTATTAAAAAGCAAAACCTTGGTTGGCTAATTTTTACAAGCGTAAGTTATTTTATTCTGGGTCCCACAGACGTATCCAAGTACTAGGTGGTTGTGTGACAATGACGTTTTCTACACAGGGTTAAAGTTTCCAGGTGTATGATTTGCCAGGTATATGATTTTCTGCTAACGTGGAGAATCGTAAATTGGGTCAGATGCGCGTAGTCTATAAGTTTGGCAAAATAATCAAATAACCACAAAAAATTACGTTTATCTAACTCCATTATATTAGTAAATAATTCTACATTATAAGTGAGAGCCTAAAATTCATACATGCATACGTTATAACCCGAAAACGGTTGCAAAATATTAAATTTAAAAAATATATATTTTTTTATTTCTCTCGTAGACAATTCTACTGAAGGAGTCAAGGCTAGTGGCTGATATTCTTACTGGACTTTGGATGATAGTTTAAACGTATATCACGGAGTTCTAAAATGACACTCAACCGCATAAATATATTAAATATGTAAATACGCTAACTCACATTATCTTCCTCTTTACAGTTACAGGTCTCAAGAAAATGATTAATTTAGAAGATTTACCCCGTTTGGAGTCTTTATCGCCGGTTAAAGATATCGAGGCGTATCAAATGACCATACTGGAGAATAAGAAGCCCGATAAGGTCTTAACAACCCTAAAATCCTCAAGTTCAGCCATTATTAAAGCAGGATCAGATAGTAGAAGTGAAACCATGTGGACGGGCAGCGGTTGTCGCTATATTAATCAGGTAAGTACAAACGTGCTTTGTTGCTATTTGCTTATNAAAGAAAATGATTAATATAGAAGATTTACCCCGTTTGGAGTCTTTATCGCCGGTTAAAGATATCGAGGCGTATGATATGACCATACTGGAGAATAAGAAGCCCGATAAGGTCTTAACAACCCTGAAATGCTCAAGTTCAGCCATTATTAAAGCAGGATCAGATAGTAGAAGTGAAACCATGTGGACGGGCAGCGGTTGCCGCTATATTAATCAGGTAAGTACAAACGTGCTTTGTTGCTATTTGCTTATCACCGCATGTGAATAATTTAATAAGTTAGTCAAGTTGTTTGCAAAAAATTTAATGGCTGTGTTATGACGGGCAAAAACCAATTTATTTATATATAAAAATCATTAAAGAAACTTGATAAATTTTAGTTCTAATAATAGGAAAAAANTCACCGCATGTGAATAATTTAATAAGTTAGTCAAGTTGTTTGCAAAAAATTTAATGGCTGTCTTATGACGGGCAAAAACAAATTTATTTATATATAAAATCATTAAAGAAACTTGATAAATTTTAGTTCTAATAATAGGAAAAAATTTAGCAGCAGACATGTATTTGCTTCATTGTTGCTATTAAAATGAATAGTTTAAGTAAATATCTATTTAATATATGTAAGAACATACATACTTTAAGAAAATCTTGGGTATTTGATAGAAGTTCTACCCAATAATACTGCGACACCTAAATCGATTTTTTTTCCCCCAGAAATATATGTACGTACATTAGGATGATCCAAAAATAAAGTAAAGTCGGAATATTATGCTCTTACCATCTAGAATTGTTGTTTAAAGAAAAAATATACCCGTTTTTTATTTTGAAATCACAAATATATTTAGAAGTCGCTCAAATGACTCAAAGTTATCCAGTATTTTATATGGAAAAAATCATTTTTCGTAGAAATGATACAGAATTCTTGAAAATCAATATTTTTCGATATTAACTATTTTTTTAAAGGTCCCCCAAAAATATCAAAAAATTCTATGGGAGACCCATGAAAAGTCGTTAGTACTAAAAATGGTAAAATAAACAATTTGGTATTATTTCTGGAAGTCTTTTGAAGAGAAACAGAGTTTTCAGATCGAAAAATTATGATTTACAAGAATTCTATACCATTTCCACGATTTTATATAAAAAATACACGAAAAACATTAAGCGACCTCTAAAATTGTTTGATGTCGAAAAAAAACATTGAACAATCCTTGGGGCATTCGGACTTAACCTTTTTTTACAAGCACTATTGGGCCACTCTAATGTACATACAAATCATAGAATAATTATACCGTACAATATGTATACATTAGGCCGTACCGGAAAAAAGATCACAGAGTAAACTTCTGAGTCTTAAAATATTTTTGTAATGTGATTAAAAAAAAAAAAAATTTATTTGTCCGACCATAGCCGTTGCCTTTTTATATATTTTTTTTCTTCGACATTTACAAGCGGGTCATTAATTATGATATATCGATGTCATACCGTAATCTCATCTCGATTAAGGTCGCCCGTAGCAGTAGTGCAGGTACTAGGTAAATAAATGGGTTTGAAACCAACTTTTTTTTTTATCTAAAGAGGCGTTTTTATTTTTTCTTTCCGATGTCGGGATTTATTTTAAAGGAAGTTGTAATTTCAAAGATATGATTAATTCCAAACATTATTCAAAAAATTCAATGCAATGTATAATAAAAATATGGGTACCAAATTAAAGAGGAAATTTCTTTAGAATTTAAAGTAATTAAAATTTTTTGGATTCACGAGGACGAGTAGTTAATTTTTCAAGTTGATAAAGTTAGAAGAACGAAATTCGAGGATGTTATCGAGTTTATATCAGTCCTTTTTAAGGACACCGTGCAATAGTAAATATTACACACAAGGAGTCCTTAACATACAATTTTTTCAAAAACAAATATTTCAAGGATAAAATTTTAAAAGCACATTTTCAAAACTATGCAACAAAAAATTTTGTGTGTAATATTTATTAATGCACGGTGTTATATGTATAATGAGCTATATCGGTTCATCCATTAATCATTGTCGTCAAGCTCAACTAACGGTAGGCCCAAAAAATGGGCAATTTCAACAGCGTCGGACCAAAGGGAAAGAGGTGTTAGTTGCGCGGAATTGAGCTGGCTTGTAAGAGGTGATTGATGTCGTACGGGAAGTCTCCACATGCCGGACACTCCTGGGGATATTAACTGTTGAGGCGGCTAGAGTGCCACCAGCAGTGTTGCCAGAACTTTTTGGATGAACCGGCTAAATTGNGTGTCGTACGGGAAGTCTCCACATGCCGGACACTCCTGGGGATATTAACTGTTGAGGCGGCTACAGTGCCACCAGCAGTGTTGCCAGAACTTTTTGGATGAACCGGCTAAATTGGCAAATAAAACCGGCTAAAAACGGCTAAAATGTTTCAACTAAATTTCACATGTTTTATTTAATTTTATTTATTTAAAATACTATTTCTTGGAGAGAAGTTACAAATTCGAGCCGAAAAAAATTTTGCCAGCAAGAATTTGCAATTAGGAAAAACATATGATTGTGGCACATGGTTGGATTTTTTGTCGACGATAATTTGAATAAATAAGTTCGTTAAATTTACAAATTTACAAACTGGAGCGATTTTAAAATGAAAAATCTAAGTTAATACTTGTTTACTTAATTAATTTAGTTAATTCCAATGATTTGAAAGGTACTCGAAAGAAAAACTATTTATTACTATTACTATAAGATATTTTGAGTGATAATTCTCGCTGGATTTTCGACGAACAAACTTATTGTCTTCCCTACAAGGCCTTTTCAGACTGACCGATTCTCAATACACTCAAATAAAAACCAATACACATAAAAAACGCTGTAAAAATTTCCCTTCAATTTTAAGGCAGTAAAACAACGACCTTAAGTTAACATCAACCGAGGCCATATGTTGACAAGGGATGCAAAATCACAGTTACACAAAAGAACTGGTCAGATTTTTCAGAAATCCCTTCAATTCTGATGTAAAATATGATGCCAAAAGACTGCAGATCTCCCATTTAGATGACCGGTCATATGACCGGCAGATGTCTCGTAGGATTCCCAGAGAGTTTTGCTTTACATAGAAATTTGTGCTCTTTTATTTTCATTTTGACTCACTCAGTGTTGGTTCCATTAATTCAAGTTGGCATTCGGTTTTTGGAATTTGAATAAGTTCTCAGCAAAAACGTTTGTTTAAAAAAATACATATGTGTACATTAGGCTGGGTCGATTTTGTATGGGGGAAAATAAAAGACATTTGACCGTATTGTAATAGTAATATTATGATGTCTTAGGTCTTAGCCAATTGTTATTGGCCACGAAAGATTAATTTAATACTTATCTTTAGCCCGCACAATTGAACCAAAGTGTACGAATTTTGAAAATGAA